TTTCATAAAAATAAAAAAATAGTTTTTTTTGTCTAATAAAAATAAGATTCGACAAGAACTTTTGATCTTTTTATTTAGAAACAAAACTTACTAGCATAAGTAAAATCTTACTATTAGAGGTCAAACACTTGAATGACTGAAGATTTGATAAATCCTAAATATGAAGAAGCAAAGATTTCGACTCTAGGATTTTAAATTGACTTATTCTCTTTTACGGGTTTTTTGCTTCATTGCAAGTCTCCTTGGATTTAATTGGCTCTTGATTACGATATATAGAGTAAGATATGTAATATTTAAACTTATGAATATTCATAATTAATTTAAAAATTACATACAAAACATAAATATTGATATTGAGGGTTTCCACTATTCCTCTAATTAAATGTATTTTTATTTGTTCACTATGTTATATTTTTTAATTTCATAGTTAAATTCATATTTGAGTATAAGGTCGAATCTCATCAAATGCTTGCATTGACCTTAATATGCTGACTTATTTTGTATTTACTTCATTGTATTGGTTATTAAAAGAGATATATCAGTATTTATATTGTGTCTTAATGCATGTTTTGTTTAACGCACTTGTCCTCTACGTAAATAGGTGTTATCCATGTGTAGTTTGTATAAATGCTGTATGTTTATTGATGAATCAATGAACTTTGTTTTTTATATTAACTTCCCTCTCTCGTTTCCTCTGTTTTTTTCCTTAGAACAATGCATGTTATCCTACTGCTATCTTTTTTCAATTTTATGACATTTTTCCTTACTCTTGTACTACTCATTAACTATTGCAAAGTATATATCCCAAATTTTATCAAGAATGACTAGGAATTTTAAAAGCATATCTCAATTATTCTTGTATTCGTAAAATAATTAAGTATTTTCCGTCGACTATTTTCTAAATGAGATACTCTCCAATTGAGGGCCAACATGTTGTTTCCATGCTATTTTAAATGAAGAAAAAAGAAGTAGAAATATTCATATATATATATATATATATATATATATAAACTCAATCCTGTTATCAATATTCTAAAAAAACTTAAGCCACGTAATCACATAGTTAGAAGTTTATGTGAAATATTTACTACGGTTAGTCTTGTTCAATAGTTAGGATTATCAATTAAATTTGTAAATTCAATTCAATTCAAGTGCGATATGAACTTAAAGTTTTAATATTTTAATTAAATTAGATCGGACCTAACACCACGACCACTTCTAATGGTGACATGGTTACACTCTATATCCAACTACCATGTAAAATAAAATCACTTTGATTTAAAAAATGAAATAAAATTCTAACTTGTTTTCATGCTCAATGTATAATCTGATTCCTCCACTTTCCCATCTCGTGTCGTTCGACCATTGATTCGACGTTTGAAGGAAAAGGGGAGGGGGAAAAACATACCTTTAGGATCTCAACCAGTATGTGTTTCTTCCCATGCCCATTGATTCACCAAAAACTTTGCAAAAATTGACCAATTACATGGACGATGATGTGATGGCTTAATATGAAGAAGGAAAGGGGGAGGGTCCCCTCACTCAACCCCCCAATATTCGAGTCACCGATCCCCACATGGTCCCCTTCCATTGTCGCAAACCAATGCTTAGAAACCCAAGCCCCAAAGTCAAGATGGCTCCAAAATCCATCAAAAGAATTGGGCCTTCATGTCACCATAATGGGAAAGAAGCAGCATTCCTGTGTACATGATTATGGTACAGCTCACGGTGGGGCGCGTCCCACCTATCAACCCTCCTCTTAAATCTGGGCCTACCTTTGGATTGGAAAAGAATCAGACAGATCTGGTGGTGGGTGGGGCTTCAGGATTAGGATATGCACGTGGGTATGATAAAGTTGCCTTTCTGACCAATAGACAACCCCCTCCGCTTTCAGCCTCTGGTTTTGGTAAAGTATAATCTGAATGATTGGTTTTATTTCCTGGTTCTTCTACTCACAAGTTACCCAAATCTGACCATGGAAGGTGCACCAAAGCTTGGCTTCGTTTCTTCTTTCTTTTATGCAGATTATGTATTCCGAAATCAAGATTTAGAGCTAAATTTGGTTAAAGATTTGAATCACTTGTAGACAGATTCAGCAATTGAAGCATTGTTGATTGATAAAATCATTTCCTCTGAGTGGGACCAAAGAGCAAAACAATTGTCAATGGGGAAACAGTGTTAGATTCTGACTATCCCTGGGGAATGACACACGCATTGCACGTGCACAAGAGGAGGATTCCCACTGAACATTAAGGTAAAGAGCTGAGACCCACTCCGGTCTCCCGGCATCTGTCACATTTGTTAAAACACACTATAGATGCTTCCTGCAATGACAATTCCCCAGGTCTCCCATCCACCTGTCTTAACTTCAAACCTCAACTAGGAGCAATTTCCCATCACCCTTTATTCATTAATTTAATGGTTTCCTTACGAATTGTCAAAGAGGCAACAATGGTGAAAAGACGCCTAACCATATGGGACCTCCTGCTCAACTCTTCAACTAATTTCTGGACGTAGCAGTAAATACCCAAAGCTTTTGAAAAATGAATTTGAATTTTATTTATGACCCTTTATCCACCTTAATTCTAATGCACAATCTTTCAAGAGGAGTGCCACATAATATTTTGTCTTAGTTTGAAGGATTAATCAACCCATCTGCCCTAATATTTTTCTAACCAAAAAGAAAAAGTAAATGGCCGGAATTTCACATGTAATAAAGGTTGGAATGTCTTACTTTGTACGGAAAAGCATTATGTGAAAATAATCATATAAAAGTAACAAAAAGCCATCACAAAAATGCCATATGATTTGGTTAAACAATCATTCAAAAAAAAAATATATGACATTAATATCACTTAACATTATATTTTTTATAATCTTAAAAAAATACTGTTGAATATTATCTTTCATCTAATAGTTTATGCCATTGAATACGATATAATAAACTTTATAAGTTACAAATTACTTCAATATAATTGATGCTCACTATATATTTATCAAAAAGTATAAAATTAATCATTTATGTAAATTTTTAGTTTAAGTATTTTTGTTATCTCAATTGTATTTCATACCCTTGATCTTATGGTTATAGATTAGAGTTGTTTATAAATCGAGTTCGGAACAAATTCAAATCAAATTTAACAGATCTATTTTCTAAAAAAAAAAAATCAAGCTCAAGTTTAATTCAGTTCACCTATTTACATATTATTTTATTATTAAATAAAAATATATTATTTGTTAATAAAATAATTACCTGGACTTGAGCTTAAAATTCTATATCCAAACCCATGGGTTTGATTATTGTATATTGCTTCTTTTTTCTTTTATCAGATATAAATAAAGTATGTATTCTTAGTGGCTGTATAATTCTTGTCTCTTTTTATTTATAAATCTACATTATTAGTGTTTAATTTGTTAGATAGAAGATATTATAATAATTTTGTATGAAGAGAACATTACGGCTCTACCTTAAAATTTAAAACAGTAATACCGACTTCTTTTGGTGTTAACTATTTCAAGGTTCATAGAATAAAACTCAAATAGTTATAAACAAAAATAATCTTGCTTATTATGTGAAATTAAAATCTTATTATATAAAATATCATATTGATATTTAATAATAAATTATTATTATTTTAATAAAAAAGTTACTAAATGGGAAAAAATAAAAAGAAATTAAAATAAAAATATATTAATATTTTAAAAATGAATTACTAACTTTTTATTTTAATAATATTTGAATAAAAATGAAATTGAAAGAAGGAAAGGAAAAATGGATATAGATAAAAAATAAATATAATAAAATATCATTTTAATATTTTAATAAAAAGGAAAAATGAAAATAGAGAAAGAAATAAAATAAAAATCATATTAATAGTTAATAATAAATTATGATCATTTTATTGAAAAATAAATTAAAAGAGAAAAAATAGAAATCATATTAATATTTTAATACAAAACCGTAATATATTAATGAAAGCCTATTAAATTATTATCTGATAAAAACATACTATCAAAAAATAATAAATTTAAAAAACCTCAAAAAATTTATTTAATTTTAATAAAAAATATTTTTATCTTTTTATCATAATGGTAATCTCATTCTATGAAGTAAATTACATAATATTTATTTTATTCCATTCTTCTTTTGCAATTCTCCATGTTATCTTAATTCTTAACTAAAGTATGAAACAAGCTATTTATCCCTCATTTAATATTAAAAAAAAAGGAAGAAGAGATTTTTTTGATCCAAATTTTAGAGGACCATGCCTCATTATCCTCCTTAATAATTAACAAAACAAGCTATTTATCCCTCATTTAATATTAAAAAAGGGGGAAAAAGAGATTTTTTTGATCCAAATTTTAGAGGACCATGCCTCATTATCCTCCTTAATAATTTCCCTTGTTAATATTCACATCATCCTGTTTCCTATTAAAATTTTTGGTTTTTTACAGCACCAAATGGCAAAGAAATTAAAAGTGTCAAATCATCAGGTACAACTGCCATGTGATGAGCAATGCTTTGAAAATTGCATTTCAGTAGCCATGCCTATGTGACTTGACAAGACTGCGGCCAATGGATCCCTACATAAGCACCATCCCTTTCTTTTTCTTGGTACTAAACAATTCCACTGAGTTTTAACTCTTTACTTATCCATGCATTACATACTGAAAATATTAAAGGAAAAACCCAAACAGCTGGGAGTTCAGCAATTGGCATATGCTGTTGAAGCTTTTTTCTTACTCTTTATTTATTTGGGTTTTGCAGAAGAAACTATTGCAGCAAGAGATAATCAATCATGACAATCCTTACAAAACCCATTGTAAATTAAATAACATCAGCAAATATTGAAAGAGAAAATGGAAAGTAAATGTAACACTAGTTTAATTATGCTAGGAACTAACTTAGAAATCAAAATGTTTAATTATGAGGATTTTTTTTTTTTGTTTCTGCATAACAAGCTTGATGATTATCAGTAGCATAGTGCATGCACAAAATCAAAAACTAAAAGCAACTGTAACTCAGTCCTTAAATGTCGATGTCATCTCGTTTGCTATTTACAATTTGAGAAGCAGAGAAGAAAAAGAGAGCTTAAATTAGCTGCAATCTTCACAGCCTGAAATTGATGAATCCTTCACTTCCAAGTTTGCAGCAACGATCAAAAGTGTTACAACAAGACTCAACAGCCTTGATCACCATGGCTTAATTGTTTACTTAGCTTCTGCTGGAATATGATCTTAGTCATGCCAGCAAAGGAGCATAACCACACATCTTCTGATAATGTATAGCCTCCCCTTCTGCTCCCTGATGTATCCACCAAGCCTTCTGCATGAGATCTTCTTCTTGGACTCTCTCATGGCTGCTGCACTAGTGCTCATCTTCATGTTAAAGTTATTCTAAAATTTTCTTCTGCGTTTAATTTCTCCTTGCCTTTCTGGAGTGGAAGAGATAGACAGAAGAGAAAGGAAAGCTCAGATACTTGTAGTAAAATTGTTTGAAATGAGGGGAAAGGGCAGGCATCTTATAGAGAGAGGCGTGCGGTCCAGATTCCTTCACAAGAACAAAAAAAAAAAAGGAAAATTTCCAATTTTATTGTCTACCTATGAATGTGACACGTCATGATATGCAGAAAAAATATTTAATGTGGGAATCACCAATCCAAGATAAATGGTCGGCCATTGATGGAAAATTTGAAGGAAAGGCGAAAGCTGACGGAAGAAATTTATCTTGGATATTTGAGGGGCATGCAGCTGTTACAGCTATACCATGTTTTCATGAATTTTTTTTTGTTTTCTTTTTGAAGGAAAGAGCTCTGATGTTTCTTTGTCATGTCGGTTGACTGCACATTGCCTAACGCATCATGCCATTATTGTTTTACCAAACCTTCCCTTTTGCTCTTATTCTAAGTCTCTGAAAATTATCAAAATTCTTTTGCTCAGTCCTGCCGCTCACTGTATTTCACTGAACCATATATCATCCTTAGCTGGGACTGTGAAGGAAAAAACATATATATATATATATATATATATACACACACACAAACAGTCGTATTTCCTTTCAAGAGAACTTAGATAAATAAAGTAACATTTTTAACATATTTTATGGAGAATAATATTATATAATCTTATTAATATTTGAATCAAAATATGAAGTAACATTATTAAAAGAGCACTTGAAACTCGGAGGAGGGGGTCCATTGGTACTCGAGACTACTTAAAAAATGAAGAGACAAGGCAGGTGCAGTAAGGTTTACACGAATGAGTATTATTGTATAATTGAAATGAGCTCAAAACTCAAAAACATTGCAATGGAATCTGAGTGACCTCTTCAAACCCAACCACATTAGGATTGATTATGAATCTAATCAACTGAAAACACAGCATAATCCCACATGTCCTGTCTCGTGCTTCACCCACAGCACAGATCCAATCAGGCTCTCCTACCCATCCCACGCTTAAGGGGATTAATCTACAATCCTTGTGCTGCTCTCTATTCTAAGCCTGGTAAGAATTGAGCAAACATGTAGCTAAATTCCTGGAACCCATGGTCCCTTGAGATGCATATTGTTGCTTACAGCTCAGCTGCCTATTCATTGTGACTTAGTATTATTTTAATGATACACGTTGGCATCCTTTATTACTACAAATTAATCAATTTCCAATTTATGAAAATAAAAAATTTGAAGATGAATTAATGATGGATGATTCAAACTTCAAATCGCTAAATCTTAATCCTTTTTTAAAAAAAAATAATAACAGAAGAAGAGAGTGTATTAATTGAGTAACATATAGCTGGAATATAGATTTCTATGTTGAGACACATGATATCATGAAATATTCGATGTTTGCTAAAACAAAAATGAAAAAAGAAACAAAGTCGGGAGAGAAAGTACTGTTCATCCTCTCAATGATGTGACCAATGAAAATTGAAAACAATAATTAAATAGACAAAATAGTAATTGGAAATGAAGCAGGGGTGGTGTTAACCTAGGAGAAAAAAATCTTAGCCTTATCTGATCGTGGGCCAAACCTCCATGTCGATGGTGATGTTTTTAAATCTGGGTGTGGTAGGGTCGAACTTGAAGCCAATTATCCACCAAACGCCCCCATGCTGAAAGAGAAACTTTCCCATAAAAGGAGACAGCGCGAAATTAAATTATCTCAAATGACTCCATTACCAAACAACGGGACCATGGTTTTGTCTCAAGTTGTTGCTTGCTCATGTAAAATTTTGTAATAGAAAATTACAAACACATACTGCACAAAGAGGACCGGTCGGCACGTGATAATCCTGTGAGGGACATGGTCACTGCCTTACTTATGGTAGACAACCAAGATTTTTGTTAGGTTGTTGTTCTTCATCGCTAGGGGGAGGTTTCTGATTTGTTGGCTTCATATTTTGCACTAATTAAGTTTGGGTTAATCCAAGTTTCGTTTTTAACTCTTAAGATTTGGATTATCGTATCTTTGTCTTGGTTTCTTCGAAGATTTCGTATGCCACCAACGTACAATTCAATGTACAACTAAGATTGAATTTTTTGGACTAGGAGATTCATATATATTTATTTATTAGTCTTGATTAACAGAAGCATTTCTTTTGACCAAGCAAGCAAGCATCCTAGTTTTGCTCAATCTCGAAAATTGATATACTGAGTACCTAGAACAGCTGCCGAATTAGTTACGAAGTTAACATAACAAAGTTCGGACTACTTAGAAGAATGATCGTCACAGTATACCATCGACAAAATGGGGTGAAGATTTGCCAATAAAATTAATTTTATGTTAATTTGTTTAATGATTTAGTTTACTAGATGTAATAATAATAATTGAATTTAAATTATGATGATTGTAATTATTAAGGAAATTCTTTTTAAAACCACTCAGAATTTAATAAAAAAAACCCACCACTCAGAAAATAAAAATCCCTTAAAATTAGAGTTAATATTGCTAGAGTGCCATTATGAAATAACTTGGAAATGGAATTGAAAGAATGGAAATGGAAGAAGATTTTGTCAGGTCAACATGAGGGAAGAGGGCAATTTTGTTCATGATTTCGTAGGCCATTTATGACAAGGAAGATATGTTACAACTTTTAGTGGCTTGGAATAAAATCCCAGAGGGTTGGGAATGGCCGAAACTACACATTTGACGTACATGTTGAGATTTTTAATGGCAGCCAAAGTAGTATTCAGATAGTCCAAAAATATACATGAAAAAAAAGCAGAGATAATGGCTTTATTTAATTCTTCCCCCCTTCCTAAAGATGCAATGAAAACGATATTTCAATCAAATTCTTATAACGACAACTCAAACTTTCAACAATTCACGTAGCAAAACGATGGCTTCTTCATGCAAGTGCTTAGCCCATTGTCCTACTCTTCAATAATTCTTGGTGTCACCAGATTTTTTATATGTGTTTCGAGAAAATGATTCTAAAGCGTCAACCATTGCGGTTATGGTGCCTGATTTTTTTTTTTTTTCTATTTACGTCGTTTTCTCTTATCTCTTATGTTGTGGTTGAGTTTTAAATCTGAAAAAATGGTAAGAAATGGTCAACTTCATAGTATTATTTTAAAAATAACTTTTAATATAAAATGAATATTTTTTATCTAATTTTTATCATAATTTAATAAATATGTTTGTGAAATCTTTTAAAATAAATTAAATTATTTATTACAATTTCTCTTATTTATTTTTTTTAACATCCATTTATTATGCTATCAATTTCTCTCTCCCGCCATCCGATTTTTTTTAATTTTACCACCATCACTATCTCTTTGTTTATTTCTCATTATATTATTATTGATTTACAGACAAAGAGTAGAGGTGATATCAATATATATTCTTAGGTTTACTAATTTACATTTACAATACCTCAAAGTTGATGGGTTGAAGTTATATAAGTGAAATTTATAAATTAAACTATTGCCTAAAGTTGTTACATGCCATACCTACATATAACAACTTTAATGCATTTGACATGTAACAAATTTATTGAATATGGCATGGTTTAAACATGATATGTAACTTTATCTTTATATTTCATTATGACATAGACTTTTGAAGTTAAACATGTTAAGCATGACGTGTTATAACTTTTATTCAATATGATACTTTTTTTAATATGACGTGTAATTTGATTTTTATCTTTATATTTCACTATGATAAAAAATTATTGGAGTTAAATATTTTAAATATAACGTGTAATAACTTTATTTTCAACATGTTGTATGATAATTTTTTTTCAATATGGAACGTAACTTAGTTTCTATTTTTATATTTTATTAAAAAATAAATTTTTAGAGTTAAACACCTTAAACATGATGTGTAATAACTTTTTTTTTCTTCAACATGAAGCATAATTTGACCTTTATTTTTGTATTTTACTAAAATATAAACTCTTAAAGTTAAAAATGTAACAATTTTTTTTTTCGATATGACATGTAACTTGATTTCTATTTTTGTATTTCATTAAGATATAAACTCTTGGAATTGAATACCTTAAACATGACATGTAACAATTTTTTTTTTTACATGTAACAACAATTTTTTTTTAGGATTTCTAAACTGATCCTTTTGTCGAAGCTCTTGCAACAGCTACATATCATTAGTACATCTTTAGAGCTGTAACTATTAAGGCTTTAAGATCCTTCCACAACAACTCCACCAATTAAAGAAAAAAAAAACAAAAGATTCATCAAAAACTAAAATAACTTCATCTCTCCTTTATAGCTTCTTTTTCTTTATTTGTTCATTTATGTGTATAAGAAAATGATCATGACGATGACCTTTCGGTTTTTTTTTTCATCTTTCTTCTTTTATAATTTAAATATTTTGTTGTTAGGTTATGCACCTCTATATCATTGTTTTTGAGTGTGATTGAACATGAGGAAGTTTCATTAAAAGTAATTTTATCTAAAAAAATTTTCTCTTGACTAAAATAATTAAAATTAAAAAAATATTTTAAAACAACCCTTATCTTTGAGATTTAAAAAAATAATCATCCTTTTAAACTTTTAACTCTGTTCTCTAAATTAAGCTATTTTTTTTTTTTAGATGACCAATGACATACTTATAATATAATATGACTTTGTCTATATAAATTTTTTATTCCAAAAAAAAAAGAGTAATTCGTTTGTACAAAAGGGAACATTAAGATCATACGATGGTATGATTTTATTCCATTTATTTCTCAACTCAACCCAACCACATTGGGCTAATCGCAAGCGACGAATCCGCAATGGGCATCTAAGTCTAACAATCTCAAACAGGAAAAGAAATAAGACAATAAGAACAAGAAGAAAAAGAATGTGAATATATTCCAAAACGGATTAAGGCCAACCAAATTATACAGCAAAAGCTTCAATAATTTATCCCTTTTGAACTTATACAACAACAACAAGAAGCATCAAGTTACACCGACAATGGAAGATGTGGTTGCACCTTACTTTAACATTTTAACTTGGCTTCTGTTTTGTTTTTCCTCGATACCCGGCACCCCTACATCTTACTAGTAATCTATAATTGGAGACACCATGAGATTTTGTCCTTCCCACTCATATTATCACAATTTCACTTTTGCTAATGACAAGTCGACATAAACCTAAAATGATAGAGAAAGGGATAGCAATGCTCTTCCCTCTAATAAACTTATCCTACTTAAAACTCTATTTCTACATTATCTTGGATCCAGCTTGGGTGGACGGGCCGAGCCATCATTGTGCCCTTATTAGCCTATGTGTTTGTTTGGAGGCTTTAAGCCCAGTTGGTTCCAACTTTTAAAAGGAAAAACCAAAGATAAAATCAAGGTTGTTCCGTATTGGGAAAAAAATAAAATATTTGGGAGACAAGTCTATCAATGATTATGATCACCTTAACCTCACTGATCACTTGTTGACACTGTGTGAGGGTTGTCTGCATATAAGCATTGCCACCCCACATGCATGGTTTTTTTTGCCCTTTTTCTTTTCTAATGGAAACTTTTTTGATTATCATTACAACTTCCAAGTGCATGAACAGACAGACCAAGTTTATGTCACAGTGTTTATCACAGGAAACAAAAGTTGAACCTGGCTGATAAAACAACTCCATATTTGGGATAGGCAATCAGGTTATGCCACCTATGTCTTGGGAACTTCAACTAATCCCATCCCTCAAAGACAGCGATACCTCTCTTATCTCTCTCCCACTTCCACACAGCCACTATTGTGACAGCTACCTTCCTAACAGATAACAAAATCAACAGACGCACTGATGAGGGGCTATTTGTAGAGCAAAGCTACTTTGCCCTCTTCTCAACTCCTTCATTACTCAAATAATAAGTTTTCACCAGGGCTAAAATGCTAAATAAGCCCTTGAATGTCTCTCGTTAATGTAAATAAATTTTTATGTTATGATTTATATCTAAACAAATTCTTTTGTCGATGAAAATTTGTTAAGCAAATCGTGTGACTTTAACAATTATAACATTTATGATCAAATTAACATTTTCTGCACATGTAAATTAGTTGAATTAAAATTTTTTTTCCTAAACATGATTATTTCAGCCAGTCAATTTCGTTATGTTAAAAAAATTATACCATTTGTCACAAGTTTAAAAGATATGAATTTATCATAAATTTAATAATTGTCAAAAATTACGTATCATATGATTTCATTTTATGAATATAACAATTTATTTAGATGAAATTATATATTAAAGTTTCATTTGGATATAATAAAAAAAATTTATTTTCTTGTAAATAGCTAAACAATCGGGCAATCGAATTAATACTTTAACGTTTGCAATGGATAACGGATAAGGTTGAAAAAAGAGAAGGTCCAAGTGAAGGATTTAGTGACCAAAACAACAGGAAATGCCCTGATCAGAAAATCTGGCTACAAAATTTTATCAGGGGGATGAACTTCCGTAAACATGGCTTGGTTACACTCACGGAATCTCATCACTTTACCCAACCGGTCCCCCCCCCCCCCTTTGGTACAAATGTCCCACAGTTTTATTCCAACTTCTATCACACTTCCATACCATGACTCAAATCTCATTTTAGCCATAACAGTCCAATTGCCGAAAAGCAATCACCAAGATTGAAAATTGAGGTGTATTTGTTATGGGAAGATGCAAGTGATTTGATTCAAGCAACCCATGGCAACATATTCAAGTTTTGCAGCTAGGAAATCCCCTGAGAATTCATATCAATCATCTGAAAGAGGCATCGAGGCTGTCGGTCCGCAAAAGCTACCTTCTTCAAAGTTCAAGGGAGTTGTATCCCAGCCTAATGGCAGATGGGGAGCACAAATATACGAGAAGCATCAACGGGTGTGGTTGGGAACCTTCAATGAGGAAGAAGAAGCTGCTAAGGCTTATGACATCGCTGCATTAAGGTTCCGTGGCCAGAATGCTTTCACAAACTTCAAGCCTTCCGTACATACCGATGAAGATGACTTCGAACAATATTTCTTGGCTTCTCATTCCAAAGAAGAGATTGTGGATATGATAAGGAAACGCACATATACAAATGAGCTTGAGCATTGCAAGTATAATTATGCATGTCATGACACTTGGAAGAGAATTAAAGGAAACGGGTTTTCAAGTTTACCCGGATTTGACCCATTCGAGGGTGCTCGCGAATACCTTTTCGAAAAGGTTGCTACGCCAAGTGATGTAGGGAAACTTAACAGAATCGTGATACCAAAACAACATGCCGACAAGTATTTTCCTATGCAGGGTGGGATTGTTTCCAAGGGTGTTTTATTGAATTTTGAGGATAACATGGGAAAAGTATGGAGGTTTAGGTATTGTTATTGGACGAGCAGTCAGAGTTATGTCCTAACAAAAGGTTGGACAAGATTCGTGAAGGAAAAGAAGTTGAAAGCAGGAGATGCGGTAAGTTTTTGGCGATCCTTGGGGCCGAATACAAAGTTGTTCATAGGCCACAAGGCAGGAAACGTATCAAATTTAGAGGAGCTGCCAAACAGGGTAGTCCCCGGGGAAAACAGTGGGGTGGTTAGGTTATTCGGTGTTAACATCTTAGAGACAAATATGGCCGTTGTAAATCATAAGAGCAAGAACAAAGAAAAGAGCTTAGAATAGTCATGCAACAGGATTAGCAGGAAGCCTTGAATTAGAAAATTTTTATATTCCAAATGTTTCACATCAGCTCTGTTACTTGTTCGTTTGCTTCCACTTTTATGCTAAAATCTTAGATGTAAAGGACTCTCTCTCTCTATCTATATATATGGAATTGGGCGTTCACGTTATTTGCAGATGCCCTATGGCTTTTTACTGCATGCAACAAAATATTCAAATATGGCAATCTCTGAACCCCCAGGGAGAAAAATCCTCGATGGCGAAAACAACGGGGGTGATGGTGTGGATAACGCGCACAAAGAGGCGAGTGGCTCAACTGAAGGAACTGCCACATCCTATCCCATACCCACAGTCCACTGATCAGTCACTGTCAATAGGACATAAGCTTAGCATGGCATCTCTACCGCCCACCCCACTCAGTCCTTAAAGTCCTAACCATGAACAATAAAAAAAAATAAAAAAATAAAAAAAGACCTCCAAATCTGGAAATCTCACTACTACTTTTCAAGTATATATCTTGACCACTTCTCAAAAGTTACTAATTTCCTAAATCTAGCCCCTTTCACTTAGGGCGTGTGCAATTCAGTACGGAATAGTGCCCAACATCAACATGAAAAGAAACTGAGTAATCAAATTGAGGCACCCAATGTTGTTAACAACAAAACATGTTTTGTTTTTTTTTTCTTTCTATATTTTTTAACATGAGAAGCATGCCATGTTTGGTACAACGCCCTCTTTTTTTTTTTCTTTTCTCAGTAACAAAGATGTGGGAACCAGATT